GCAACCTCCAAATCAATGTAGTTAATTTCAGGTTTTTGACAGAATTCGCCATAAAACTATTATATATTTTCTTTGGAATTGCTATCCGAATTGTTAGTTATGTTTATATCAACTTTTTTTGGTCTGAGTTTCTTTCCAAGATTCTTGCGTTTGAGTCTTTGTTCCATCTTAGTGATAAGCAAGGTTGGACTAAGCTTAGAACGCAAATGTATTTGGACCACATAGACAGGCCGCTCGGTATTGTGACTCACTACGGCTGCAGCACATCTTCCATGGTATGACCTATTCTTGCAATAATTTATTCGCCCAATGTATTTTGCGATTATAGAGTTGAACTGCTCCACACTATTGTTGTCCTCATCATGAATTAAACTCACTGAATTCGCAATTAAAATTGTCGCATATGACCTTTTATTGTCCATTATCAACCTTGATAAAAAATTCACTCAAGAACAATCACACCAACAAGAGTACAACACATCAATTCAACACAATAACAACACAATATCGACGAACAGTAACAAGGGTAGAACAATACTAAATGATCACTAGCTGAGTACCAAAACAGGAAACGATTTACAGGCTAGATCGCTAATCGAAATCCGACTCTGTTATTAATATTTACCTCGGTAGGCACCCGCAGTTATCCTTTCCTCTTTTAAAGCAGCGCCGACCACCGTCTAAGACCAGCCCACAATCGTTTACTTTTCACCCCCCGTTACCTCAGCAGATGGTGCTCATGATTGTAGGAGCCCCGTTAAGGAATGCAAATCTGAAGCATTACAATGTTCTAATTGCCTTAACCACAATAAATTATATAAAAAGAATTTGCCGTTGGATCATTCGACTAACTGTGCGATCTCTCATAGCTTCTTTTGACGAGTTTTCCTGGATGGTGCAAAGCAAATTTGATATAATAGCTGTTACCGAAACTTGGATATCTGCAAATATACCCGATGATTGTGTGAATATGAATGGCTATAGTTTTTTCCGTAAGGATAGGCTACTAACTAACGTATGGGCAGGCATTGTTGATGATTATTTGATTGGGCCATACCTTCTACCGGAACGGTTAACATAACCTATTTACCGGCGTTTCTTGGAGCAACTTCTTCCAGAGCTTCTTGAAAATGTTCCATTGCGCCGGCTCACTTTGCTGTACAAGTACGTGGGCACCGTTGGACTGCCAGAGATGGAGCAGTTTCTTAGCCTCCTAGGTCACCCGATTTAGGGTCGCTCGATTTTTCCCTGTGGGGACAGTAAGGTCTTTGGTTTACGAAACTCCAGTAGAAACAGAGCAAGACTTAACCCCTAGAAGTTTTATCCCATAGTTCTGAAACACCCTGTATAATGGAATGCACGGTAAAAATAATAGTCATGGATACCAACAAGAACATTTAACATCGGTCAGTAAGGCGTAAAAATCAGCACCAGCAGAGTGATACGTAGTAATTGGGATAAAATTGGAATAGATGTTTGTGGTATTATTGACCTTTCAAAAACCCAACTAGGAAGTAAATATCATTTGAAGCAACTTGGAAATATACTTATTCTATGTTCCAAGTATTTAAATAAACGGCGTTCGCTTTATGTCTTTCTATCGTCGTTGGTGTTGTTGGCCTTCGCCTGTTGTTGATTTTTGGGAAAAAACAAATCGTACTTCCCATATCCAACGCGATTTGGTTATATTCCGGTAAGGCAGGTTATTTACAAATTTACATAATTATATCAGACAAGTTGAGCTTCTGCGGATCAAATTCCCAACTAACAATTGTATGTTTTCTAAATGTCTTAACAACGTTTACAGAACTATTTTTATAAAACAAAAATGCCGCTATACACGTTCTAGCAGCGTCAATTTTATTCTTTAATTTATTTTATTATGGCTCCCACAGCTTTTACATGATAATCGTTTTTTTAATAAAAAAAATAAGCGTTGATTGATTTTGGAAGAAATTTGGAGATTTTAAAACTATCAACTACTGAAAATTCCCTCAAGTTTCATCATTTTTTCCACTGATAACCACCACATTATCCAACACGTGCCGGCCAACTGGTCAATCAAAGCTTATTTAAAAAAAAACCTTTCAAAATGATTTGCCATTTAATAATAAAATAATTCCGTCCTAATCGAACCTCATCAGTCCAGTTTTTATTCGTCGACTATGGGTTCCCTTCATTGTTGTTTTAAAAACAATTTTAGCAACAATCTCGCCGACTTACTCCAGACGATGAAGACATAGATCTTCGAAAGCTTGAGAGTTTAAGTTATAAGAGTGTACTTTTGCAATACTTTGCTTCTACCCAAAGAAATTACAGGAAATATATATATATATATATATATATATATATTAATGTATCATCAGCAAATAGTTGATTTTTGCAGTGTTGTGAAATATCAGGAATATCGTTAATATACAGGGTGTTTAAATTTACTTTCTAAAGTAGCTTTTTTTTAAATATTTCGAACAATATTTGATGTATAACAGTGAAAATTGGTATACAATGGTGTTTTGGTACGGCAAAACGAACCATGGGCATAGTTTTACTGTAGCCGCTAGAGCGCGCTCTCTACTGTACCTGTAGTGTATTAAAATGACCGAAAATTTTTTCTTAGTGCAATTTTTTGCTTTTTGAACAAAAAAAACTGATTCTTCGCACTTTTCAACATAAAAAAGCTCTCTTGTGAATTTTCGTTATAGTTAGAAGTTTTTGAGATATTTCGATTTTTAAGAATCGATGCATTTTTAATTATTTATGATAAAACAACGTTAAAAAGTCAGTATCTCGATAATTTTTAGAAGTAGGCTGTGCCTGCAAATATTTTTGAAATTGAAAGCAGAATAAGGTTAAACGTCAATTAGTTGACAGTTTTGTTGTCTGTTGAAACCTTAAACGTTTTTTTTGCAATTGTGAATGCACGAAATTTAGTTTCTTTTACCTATTTTTTTTGTAAATTTTATAAAAATGCCATTTTTATTCTCCAATCAAGAGTTAGCGGATATCCATTTTGTGTATGGCTTTGTAAGTGGAAACGCAGCAGAAGCAGCCAGAGAATACGCACGAAGATTTCCAAACAGACGACATCCGACTCGCTCAGTATTTGTAAGAGTGCATCGCCAAATAATTGAAAATGGTTTTGGAAATCTCCAAAGGGATCAAAACATAAATGTTCGTCAGCGCAGATTTACCCGTATGATTCTGCGTGAGTTTGATAGAGATCCGACCACAAGTGTTAGGAGAGTTTCTGGAATTTCAGCAAGCCATGTTCACCGTGTTCTTAGAAATGACCATAGACGTCCTTACCATTTGCAACCTATGCAAGGACTACAACACACACATTTTGTCAGTGGATTCTTGATAGAACTAATAATAATAGGGAGTTTTTAAGTAACGTTTTATGGACCGATGAGTGATGCTTCACTAGACGTGGAGTGGTAAATTTTCATAATCAACATATTTGGTCGCATGAAAATCCGCATGCAGTTCGGGAAAGAAATTTTCAGCATGAGTTTAGTGTGAACGTGTGGATTGGTATCTACCGTAATCGACTATTTGGACCCTACATTTTGCCTGCAAGGTTAAATGCTGCGACCTGCTTGGCATTTTTAAAGGCTGAACATGCAAATATGTGGGATGATGTTATGTTAGATTTAAGAAGATTGGCCTGGTTCCAGCTTGATGGTAGTCCAGCTCATTATTCGAGAATAGTTAGAAACTGGCTGGACGAAAATTATCCAGAAAGGTGGATCGGCCGTGGAGGACCAGTCGCCTGGCCTCCACGATCCCCTGACCTAAATCCATTAGATTTTTTTGTGTGGGGATTTGTAAAAGAAAAAGTGTACCAGACTCCCGTAACCACAAGAGATATGCTAATAGACAGAATCAGGAATGCACGTGATGAAATAAGGCCTTATTTGAATAATGCTATACCACGTTCGATCATTCGTAGATGTGAATTGTGTATTGAACAATTGGGTTTACATTTCGAGCAACTACTTTAGGTTTTGTATGTTTGTCCTAACTATCCAATAGCATTTTAGCTGTAAATAATTAATTTAATTTGTTAACAATAATATTGGAAAATTAAACAAATTAATATTCTGTGTTTTTGTGTTTATTTGGAGTTAGGAATTATTGCTGTGTTTAAAAACACAATCTAAACGATCATCTTAATTACTTGTAATGCCCAAATCGAAAATGTAAAAATAAATATTATTTTCCCATAAATAATTAAAAATGCATCGAACCTTAAAAATCGAAATATCTCAAAAACTGCTAACTATAACGAAAACTCACAGGAGAGGTTTTTTATGTTGAAAAGTGCGAAGAATCAGTTTTTTAATTCAAAAAGCAAAAAATTGCACTAAGAAAATTTTTTCGGTCATTTTAATACACTACAGGTACAGTAGAGAGCGCCCTCTAGCGGCAACAGTAAAATTATGCCCATGGTTCGTTTTGTCGTACCAAAAAACCCTTGTATACCAATTTTCATTGTTATACATCAAATATTGTTCGAAATATTTAAAAAAACTATTTTAGAAAGTATGCAATGATTTTAAAAGTTCCATCAAATCTTAAAGTTTTGCAACAATAAACTGAAACACCCTGTATACAAGGCCCAGAAGAGTTGGTGAGAAAATGCATTTATAAGGAAGACGCTCATTTCACTACTACCGATAAGAGGAAGGAAGGATAACCCTTGCAGGCATTTAAAAGTAATTAAGTTAGCTTTTATAATGAGATAATCGATGATCTGCGAACTTATTGTTGTATCAAGCGATACAGCGAATACCTTATGATTCCTAGGAGATACAAACTATTACTGAATCTAATAAGGTAGCCTCTTTACATGTAGTGCTTTGAATTTGAAAACTTTGTGTACTCTACATTCTTCGATATAATCTCCTTTAAGTTCAATACATTTTTTCATCCATGAACTGAAAATTCGGGAATTATTTTTCCCGATTAACCTTCAGACGATATTGAAGTTCCTTGACTCTACGGAGCTATTATTGTAAATATTCATTATTTCAAGTTTTTTTTAAGAGCTCGTTTGATTTTAGATATCCTCAAACCAGAAATTACAGATCGATCAACACCTTGCTACAGAAATTCACAAGGAAATGGAGAAACGATTTAACGGGAAAGTGCAACAAACGTTTGTTTCAACTGCATTATGTGGCAGCTCCCAACAAAACCAGGATTCAAAAAATGAATTTTATTTTGATTTATGCAACTCCATGGAATAAATTAGAACAACCGGCGTTCCGTAAATTTTTAGAAAAATATTGTAACCGCCATATCCCAAATAAATCCACATTGCGCAAAAACTATTTGAAGAAATGTTACCAGGTACGTTTAGAAAATATCAGGGAAAAGTTATGCAACACAAATATTTATATTCAAGTTGACGAAACAACAGATGCATGTGGTCGTTATGTTGCCAATATACTTGTTGGTATTTTAAACGAGTCTACCCCTCCAGTGTCTTATTTAATTAATTCTGCAGCCTTAGAAAAAACAATCACTCGACCGTTGCACGTTTTATTAAGGATAGTTTAACCCTACTATATGCACCAAATCCAGTTAAATCAGAAAACGTAAAATTGATGCTTTCTGATGCGGACGCTTATATGATGAAGGCTGGAAAAGCTTTACCCGGAATTAATACATTTTACCTGTATGGCTCATGCATTGAATAGATTAGCCGAACTAGTATTTTATCTGAAGTCACTTGAAATAGCATAAAAACCTTTGGTCGGCGCGTCCTTTGTAATTTCATGACGTATCATAGGCGTGCGGTGATTTATTTAGAACCATAATAATAATGTTTTTATATCACAATAAATGGATTTTACTATCTTCTTATTTTTTTGATTTGGGATAAAAAATACTTATATTGGGAGTTTAATTTATGTTGACTGAAAGTTAAGAAATGGAAAAATTACAGAATTCCAACGTTTGACATAGGCAAATATTTACATAGCAGGTAGGTATATAAAAAGGTATATAAAGACTTACATTATAGGTATTTATATATCATCCTCGCCTTCGGAGCTGTCGCTAGAGTCATCTTGTAGAGGAATTACAACGGGATTTACAGGAGGCAAAACACAATATTCATTTTCTTTTTCAATAATATGCCTAGAACACTGCTTCCATAGGTCTGTGGCAGCAATATGAGATACTGCATCTCTTATTGTGGCCAATAGCGATTCACTTAATTGAGGGGTCTGATTATGTTATCTTACTTTTTTTTTAAAGCAGCCCAGACCAACTCAATCGGGTTAAAAATGCAGTAATAGGGAGGTAGACGTAATACTTCATGGCCATTTTGCTGAAGCAGATTGTCAACAACATACTCTTTTTCAAATTTTTGTCTTTTAATAAGATCCAATAATATGGCTTTGGTTGATTTTTGTGGTATTTCCATTCCCTTATCCTTCATAAAATCAATAATGTCTTGTTTTTTGTGTCTGTATTCGGAATTTTGTTTTTCTGTCGGGAATGGTATGGCGCATTGTCCATAATAATCACTGAATTTGGGGAAATGTTTGGTATTAACTGCTGCTCTATCCACTTTTCAAATAAGTCGGAGGTCATGTCCTCATGATAGTCGGCACATGATTCTTTGATATTTTTGGCAGATAACAGCAAGGCATTAGGTATAAATCCATTTTCACTGCCATCATGGAGAATAATGATTCGTTTTCCACGGTTGCATGGTGCATTTAAAATGCACTTGTTGCTGTCGTCAACCCAGCCGTACTGAACAACATCATGGGTATCATACCACGCTTCATCCAGGTAAACCAGATTTCTTTTCTGCTCTCTATAGATTTTAACTTTGTGCAAAAATTCTTGGCGCAATTCAACGATTCGAGACGACTCCATAATCACCATTCTTTTATCTAATTTTTTGTATTGAAAACCACACAGTTTTACAATACAGTGCAGTGAGTCTAAGCATTTGTAATTATAAAAATCTTCAGGATAATCTTTTAATTTATCCCGTATCATTTCCAACGTGGGCACCAAATTTTCTTTATAAAATCCGTATATTATACGACGAATGTCTTCCTGAAAACCCACGTCTATTCTTTTTAATTTTTGCCCTATGCGCTTTCTGTGGAAAGAATGGTTGACTACATCTCCCCTTTTTATAACCCGATAAATGGTAGACCGACTGATTTTTGTCAGGATACAAATTCTGTTTAAAATTTGATTTTGCGAGGAATCTGGATTTTCGTTTTTCAGACAATCATACATATTTAGGATTACTCTTTGGGTCTGTTCCTCTAAATCTTTATGAAAGAATTCTGCCTGCACAGGTTCATCAACCATCTCCTCGTGGCTTGGAGCATTTCCCAAGGTCTCCAAAGAGCCATATTTAGGACACACAAGAACAATCAACACAACAATTAAATCAACAAGTAAACTGAGTATTCAAAAGTCAAAAACACACAAACTAATAAAATCTATGAAAAAACACGGACAGACTAAAGAAAACACGTTTATTCACCGCTACACGGCACTGGCTAAACTGTTTCAATTTTCAGTAGCCACCTGCACTTGTTCGGAGTTCTGAAATACACGCTTTCTCATTGGCTATGTCCACGCATAGGCGTACTTTACTCCACGTGGACCGGTGAAACTGCCTTTGATCTTATACGGGGGATATTTGCTGCGAAATTTGGCGATTTTTGCAGCAACAGAGCGTGGTAACTATAGATATATAAAAGGCACCCGGTATTTCACAGTGTTTCAAGTGACTTCAGATAAAGTATACGTGCAGAATATCCTTCTGTTAATAATTTAATTAATAATGGAAAAAAGGTATTTTTAAAAGCTCAATTAAGGGTAGAATTTTACAGAGAGATGGCTCCTGGCTTGCCCTTACCACCTGAGCCTGTTATTACAAGATGTACATGGCTCAATGCTGCCTTGTTTTATGCAGATAATTTCGTAATAATCAAAGAAGTATTTCTTTCGCTTGACGCTGATTCTGCAGCACATCTTGTAAGGAATCGATACTAGAGTCAAACATTTTAGAAGACTTAGCCTTTATTAAAGCTCATTTTTTCATGTTAGCAAAAGCAACAATGGACCTGGAAACTACCTAGTTGTTATTAAACGACTCTTCCAGAATCATAGAAAAGGTGATTCTTATTCCTGGAGAAATTGGAAACAAAATTAGGGTTAAATGGGAAAGTGTTTTATCTCGCAATCCTGGATATCAACAAATAAAAAATGTTTGTTACATTTTGAGAGGACAGAACCAAAGTGATAATTTAAGCATGGATAGTATTAACCAGTTATTAGTTTTATACTGCAACCCTATCGTTTAACTTTTTGTGTGTGTTAGTTTGGGTTAGTACTGTACTGTTCATTACAGAAAAACCTATTTTGTTTTGTTGACTTTTAGTTTAATATTATTTGATATGATATTTTATTTTTTATTATATTAAACATAATATATTAATATATAAGCGTTTATTTTTTTGTTTTTGCAGATTAATGTTTCAGTTTTTCCAATATAAAATCCATATTTCGTCTATTTTTTACACTATAAAAAACATATTTTGCAGTTTTATACCACATAAAAATCTGGACCTTAGTTATCATTTGACGTACCCAGGCTGACAAAACGTTACGTTTTATCTATCTGCGGCACGGACAAATTATATACATTCTTCCCCTTTACATGGGATGTGTAGCAATTACAATTCTGCAAGTAACCGGATTGATATATACTAAGTGACATATAAATCCGAACACCCAGTTTAAATGGTTTTATTTTAATAAAAGTTGGTGAATGTATTTATCTTACTGTAAATAAAAAGTGAAAAAATTTTCAGCCTTATCAGTTGGACATTCCGGTTTTTATACTGCTTTTTTTTAATTCACTAACGCTCTAAAAATGAATATTTCAGCCGCAGTAAAGAATCAACGTTGGCGGATTTTGGTTCTTGACATCCTTTACGATCGGTTACGATGCCTAGAGTACGGAGACCTGTACGATTTCGTCAACTTAGTGAGTTTGATAGGGGCGGTATAGTGGGACTTCGGGAAGCTGGACTTTCTTTTCGGGCAATTGCAGTTAGAGTGCAAAGAAGTGTAGAACACTGTGGTTAGGTGTTGACAGGCATGGCTTCGAGAAGGCCGTACGCAAAGAGCAAGGGGCACTGGACGCCGCCGTAGAACAACAGACCGTGAAGATCGCCGCCAAAGATTATTGGCCTTAAGGGACCGTTTCTCCACTACCAGGTCCATTGCAAATGAATGGTTTGCAGAACACGGAAGACCTATTGGCATGCGAAGTGTTTACCGACGAATGAGAAGTTTTGGCTTGTTTTCATACCGGCCACACTAGGTCCTCCCTTTAACTCGAGAACACCGACGTAATCGACTTGAATGGTGCAGACAACGGTCACTCTGGGATCGGGAATGGACCAGTATCGTCTTTAGTGACGAGTCTCGATTTTGTTTAGGCATGCACGATGGTCGTGGCAGGGTTAGAAGGCGACGTGGTGAAAGGAGGAATCCACAGTTTTTTGTTGAAAGACATGTTCATCACACTGTTGGAGTTATGGTTTGGGGTGCTATAGCTTATGGTTCCAGGTCACCTTTAATCTTCATCAGAGGTAACATGAACGCGCAGCGTTATATCCACGAAGTTCAAGAACCCCATCTTTTACCCTATCTTGACACCCTGGCAGATCCAACTTTCTAACAAGATAATGCCCGACCACATGTTGCAAGAGTCACAATAGACTTCTTTCAACATAATGATGTCACATTGTTACCATGGCCACCAAGATCTCCCGACTTATCCCCAATTGAGCACGTGTGGGATATGATGGGTAGGAGATTGCTCAATTTGCAACGTCCTCCTCAGACTCTAGAAGCACTTCGAGAGGAGTTGGTGGTTGCCTGGAATGAGATACCGCAGGAGAACATTGACCACCTGATCAGAAGCATGCCTAGGCGCGTTGGAGAATGCGTAGCACATCAGGGTGCATCCACACATTATTAAAGGTCAAAGGGCTTTAAAGCAGTGCAATCATTTTGAAATTTTTATCATTTACTTATTATGCTTCATTAAGTACTTATACAAAATTTTATTAAAATAAAACCATTTAAACTGGGTGTTCGAATTTATATGTCACTTAGTATATATTGTACTGAAAAAATCCCAACAGAGTGCGCGCTTGTCAATCGCCATAACGCCGCCAGTAAAGAATGTGGTAACTGCCAA